AAAGTCAAGCCAAAAATTCTGATTGTACCTTGAATTTGTGGCCATTTTTCTTAGTAAGGTTTGTCTTCACGACACCAGATCAGTTTGGTGATGATTTGACTGAAGGTAATAACAGGTACTCCAGGTTGCAGAAACTGTTGCAGGGTTGACAAAGCAAGATAGAGTAGGCAAAGCAAGCTGTTGTATGTTCGAGTGTCTGTCTAGTTTCGGATTTTCACAATACAGTTCAAGATGAATTTGGAATCAGCAAGGAGGATGAGGTCTTCTTCCCTACTCAATCCACAAGTGTTGACTATTTCAACTGGGTGGTGTAATAGACATGTACTCAATGAGAGTGACAACCGCGGGGTGCTGATTGGCCTCCATGACCAGCTAATGTGGTTGCTGCCTCAAAGCTGTCTGTTTCCTTTCGTCAAGTTTGTTATAACTTGGTCTAAGAACTTGCTTATGTAATTTATAGTCCCCATCATTTCGATCACAACAGCATTTCTGGAGTGTATATGTGAAATTTATTGGATTCAATTCTATGCAATCATAATATTTTCATAGTAACTAGGGATGAATATAAGCTCTTCGACACTGTAATTTCTACTTATTTATATAATTGAAAAGATGATTGCTAGAAATCCAGGTGTTCATGTTTAGCGACCAGATGAAACAAGTCTGTTCTTCTCATCTAAATATCTACGGAAAGATACAAACTTGTATTCACCACTCCAATCTAGATATCTACTGATTATAGAAAAAATGGCGTGATCGTCAAGGAAAGTACAATATAGTATGTGATATGTCCATTCAATCACAAGTAGGAGTAATCTATTTGACTGCTAAACTCAATAGTTGTATTCCTTGTTAAAAGAAAACTTCCTTGCATTGAGCAGAATATTGGCATTTTGTCTGACCAGAAATACTATATAAACCAGTTTGATCATCGCAATCTCCACACAAATAACATTTCAAAACAACACCTAACTAGAAAATAGGAACAAAAACCATGAAGTCTACTGTAGGAACATCACTTTTGGTTTTGCTGGTTTTTGCCACTCTTACTTACTGCTTAGATGCAAGACTACAGGCTTGCCAGCCGAGTGGCAAAATCAGAGGCATAAAGCCACCTCCAGGACAATGTAACACCGAAAACGACTCAGATTGTTACAAAAAAGGCAAGATGTACACCACTTACAAATGTTCACCTCCAGTGACTGGTAATACCAAAGCTGTTTTAACCCTGAATAGCTTCCAAAAGGGTGGAGATGGCGGTGGACCATCAGAATGTGATAACCAATACCACTCTGATGACACTCCAGTTGTTGCTCTTTCAACAGGATGGTACAGCGGAGGAGATAGATGTCTCAACTATATCACCATAAGTGCTAATGGAAGAAGTGTGAAAGCTAAAGTTGTAGATGAGTGTGATTCTACCATGGGATGTGATGACGAACACGATTATCAGCCTCCATGCTCCAATAACATTGTTGATGCCTCTAAAGCAGTGTGGGAAGCCCTGGGTATACCTACAGATGATTGGGGAGATTATGACATTACATGGTCTGATGCTTAGTGCATCATATATAGTACTTATGGTATCTGTTTGCATATAATGGTTGTCTTTGTACTCAGATTATGTCATCTAGTTTCTCATGTGATTTGTTGTTGTAAAATTACAGTATAATTAATGAAATTCTGTTCATGACTACTTTTGAACTGATCATAATATGAAATTCATGCCAATGAAAGAGAAGAGACATTCTCTCTATCAGTGAAAGCTAAAACAGGACTTGGCTGTGTAGCTAAACTAACCTACTACAGTTAATAAAAAAAACATTTGATGATTTAAAGTTAAAAATAAGGTGGAATTCATCAGTCCCAAATGCAGTATGTTTTAACTCTAGGAGTTGTATTTCTTTGTGTTATGTTTGGTAGTTAGTTTTAACTGTAATCATTGATTTTGATAACAACAATGAAAATAAGCTCATTGAACAATATAACGTACTAATACTTCATGTGTTCATATTAGTACCCTTGAAACCTCCTTATAAACCTATGGTTCCAACTAGTACACTAATCCATTTATGAGAGAAGTTGCAAAATTAGTCAGGTGGAAAATCATAAAACAGATCAAAAACGATTTCTGATAGTTCATGAACTATCGAAATTTAATGAATTGAAGGCGTAATTCTTATGTTACTGCAGCAAATGTTCTCTTCCAACAGGCAAATGGAGCAGTGTGGATGGAGAACATTAGTTGATCATTCTCACCTTTAAATTAGTCTTAGTCTCCTATATCGACCGACTATCATAACTGATGTCACATGGGAGGATGTGACAACATACACAGTTTAATCCCACAAGTGGGGTCGGAAAAGGATGATCATAACAAAATGAAGACTTTAGTCATACAGATGCTAGAATACTTCATAGTAACTTGATGAAACAATCTGTTGTTCCATGTCTATAGAAAAATACAAAACTGTTTTCAGAAACAAGAGAATCCAAGACAATAAACTAATCCATCAAGTTGACACACAAAAATCTAATTTACACATCTATGTAGAGAAAACAAATGCTTTTACCATCAAGGGAAGTAAAGCAATTATTGTCACAAATTATAAAAATACACTCATTAATCCATTTGACTGCTAAACTTCATAACATATATATACTTAATAATAAGACAATTGTCATGCCTTGAACAGAAAATTGGCATTTTGTGTGACCAATACACTATATAAACCAGCTTGATCATCTCAGTATCCACAACCAACATTACAACAACAGAATCACAAGAACAAGAACCATGAAGAACTCTATCATGGGAGCATCTCTTCTAGTTTTGCTGGTTTTTGCCACTCTTACTTACTGCTTAGATGCAAGATTACAGGGTTGCCAGCCGAGTGGAAAAATCAAAGGCATAAAGCCACCTCCAGGACAATGTAACCCTGAAAATGACTCGGATTGCTGCAAACAAGGCAAGATGTACACTACTTACACATGTTCACCTCCTGTGACCGGTAATACCAAGGCTGTTTTAACCTTAAATAGCTTCCAAAAGGGTGGAGATGGTGGTGGACCATCGGAATGTGATAACCAATACCATTCTGATGACACTCCAGTTGTTGCTCTTTCAACAGGATGGTATAGTGGAGGAGATAGGTGCCTTAACTATATCACCATAAGCGCTAATGGAAGAAGTGTGAAGGCTAAAGTTGTAGATGAGTGTGACTCTACCATGGGATGTGATGACGAGCACGATTATCAGCCTCCATGCCCCAATAACATTGTTGATGCCTCTAAAGCAGTGTGGGAATCCTTGGGTATACCTGAAGGTGATTGGGGCGATTATGACATTACCTGGTCTGATGCTTAGTGCATCATATATTCATATATAGTACTTGTTGTACCATTCCACATCATGTATTTGTTACTTGTAAAATTACAGTACAATGAAATTCTGTTCACATCGACTTTTCAAATATAGTAATATCAAATTCATTCCTATGAAAGAGACATGATTCGTGAAATCTAAAACAGGACTTGGTTCAGTAGCTAATCTAAACCCACTACAATTTGACCACGATCTATCAATCAACAACTAGGCCCCGATCTCAAATCAGTTGAGGTCGGGTATATACACCTACCTGGATTAGAAGCTTTAGTAGATGATGTCTACTATTACAATATTTCATCTTAGTAGGGCAGCAAAAGAGTAATCATACACTGAAAATGAATGTGTTTGAGGTACAACAAATTCACAAATACTCAAGACAATATCTTTGGTAGCATCCTATGGGAAGTACATGGTATACAACCTCTTTTTTCCAGTTAAACTAGGTCTTAATGATACTACAGAGCAGGCTTGACGCTTATATGAGAGAAGGTAATGAGAATTTTCTTGAAGCTGCATGATCTTTCACAAGGAACAAGTAAGACATGAGCAGCTGCCACTGCAAGTTGCCGTAGTGTGTGTAGTACTTGTCCAATTTGGAATTGGCAATTACGTTTTAGGGCGATGTCTAAATCAATAACTTCTTTAGCATAAGGTTTACCTCCTACTACTGAATCATAAGCATCTAAACTTTTTTATGAACATAAACGGTGAAATCTTTGAGAGTTGCTTCCTGAATCTTAACTAAAAAGTGTAGCATAGCTCATTCTAATTGGGATTCACAACGGTGGAGGAACAGAATCTGAAAAAGAAGTATTCTAGCTTCAAAGAAACATGAGAGTCTACTAGATATATTTTTTAATTTTCTCTTGTTTTGTCGTAGCTTCTTCTATCCTAGCTAGTGGAGCTATGTGATGATCAAAATAAGCTAATGATAGTAATATTGACGATAATGTTTACATTCATCATGGACTTTTGCTTATGTTTCATACCTTGAGTTTCATTGTGAGCTATCAAGGTCATTTGCCATTTTTAACCAGCCTTACTAACACTTCAAGTTTACTTTATAAATGCGGAATTAGAGTCTATTTCCCCTCTCCTACATTTGATGAGGTTAAGTTGGCATGTCTTGCCTCATCTTAATTTTTTATATTTTTGCTCATTAATAAACTAAGTCATCATCTAGTTGTTTTAAGATTAAAAGAATATTGGTGCTGCTACTGAACAACAAAAATACAAAATTGTATTCAGCAACTAAAGAATCCAAGACAATAACATACTCCAAGTCAAGTTCTTGCCATATTATGTTGCTGTAGAATGCCTTTCTACAACAGGATACAGAAAATTCTAAATTAGTTATCCGCTGATAGAAACCTTCAAAAGGTAAATAAACTTTAATCAAGTATGTCCAAATTTACTATAGCAAAATACTAATTAAAAGGATAAAGAAGCATTCCAACAGACAATATTGACTGCTAAAACTTAATAATTGTATATTTTATTAGAAGAAACTTTTCTTGCTTTGAGAAAAATATTGGCCATTTGTGTGAACAAAGCACTATATAAACCAGTTAGATTATCCCATCTCCACACAACCAACATTTTAAAACAAAAACCACAAAAGAAAACAGTAAGAAAAATCATGAAGAACTCTAGCTTGGGAAAATCACTTTTGGTGTTGCTGGTTTTTGCATTTCTTACTTACTGCTTAGATGCAAGATTACAAGGTTGTCAGCCGAGTGGAAAAATCAGAGGCATAAAGCCACCTCCAGGACAATGTAACCCTGAAAATGATTCGGATTGCTGCAAACAAGGCAAGTTGTACACTACTTACACATGTTCACCTCCTGTGACCGGTAATACCAAGGCTGTTTTAACCTTAAATAGCTTCCAAAAGGGTGGAGATGGTGGTGGACCATCGGAATGTGACAACCAATACCATTCTGATGATACTCCGGTTGTTGCACTTTCAACTGGATGGTACAGTGGAGGAGATAGGTGCCTTAACTATATCACAGTAAGTGCTAATGGAAGAAGTGTGAAGGCTAAAGTTGTAGATGAGTGTGACTCTACCATGGGATGTGATGACGAGCACGATTATCAGCCTCCATGCCCAAATAACATTGTTGATGCCTCTAAAGCAGTGTGGGAAGCCTTAGGTATACCTGAAGGTGATTGGGGTGATTATGACATTACATGGTCTGATGCTTAGTGCATTATATATAGCACTTATGTACCCTTTCCAATGTACTGATTATGTGCTTACACACATCATGTGTAATATGTAGCTATAATACTAAGTACTAAATTCTCATGTTTTTTGCTTGTGAAATTACAGCATAATGAAATTCTGTTCATATCGAATTTTGAAATGTCATAACATCAAACTCATACAATGAAAGAGACATAATTCGTGAAAAAAACTAAAACAGGACTTGGTTCACTAACTCATCTAAACCTACTACAATTTGACCGACATCTATATATCAATCAATCAACTAGGCCCCGATCTTAAACTAGTTGAGGTCAGGTAGATAAGAAGCTTTAGTGAAGGATGTGTACTGTCACAGTATTGCAGCTACAGTAGACATGAATGTCTTTGAGGATGAAGTCTAAAGCGATAGAGAAGGAAGTTCTGTATTTTTCTTCTTCAGCATAAGATTTCTCCTATAACATAATCATAAACATCTAGATCTTGTTATTAATATAAACGACGAGATCTCTTATAGTTGTTTTACCAAATGAGTAAATCAAGTATGGAAATGATCAACTAATTTTTGACCCTTTGAGTGATATATCTTACTATTGCGGGGACGCGAAGGAAGGAAAAAATATTTAATTTAGACAAGAAGTATTCAAGAATACACATTGAGAGCCTCTACTGTTTTAATCATTTTGTTTATGCTTACTCTGAAGATCATGTTGCTCCTACTTCTATCTGTTTATATTGCAAGTGGAAATGTAAGAATTATATCATACCACGAGATGAGCTATTTTGTTATTGAGCAAGGAAGAGCTGAGATGACTGGAAAACAAAATTTGAAGTCCATGGTGGGTAATTTTTTGATAGGATACTCATTAAGAAGATAATAATCATAAAAAATGTTGATGAAATTATTCTAAATAATCTATATCATGTATTTGTGATCCAGCATCATTAAGGATCATGCACAAGAGAAACATTGTAGTCCACTAAATATTACTTTTGTTTTGTACTATCATCTTAATAGAGTTTCAAGCAAACCAAATCTTCTATCCTAGAGATAGTTGTCTTGATGAAAATTCAATATTTGACAAGGTTATGTTTATGTATCTGCTTCATCCTTCATCTTCTTTTTATATTTTGAAATTTCCACTGATTAAATAAACTAACCATCTAGCTGTTTTAGATAATAAGAAAACTACTATACTACAATAATACAAAATTATTTTCAGCAACTAATGAGTCCACATCAAGTCAAGTTGTTAAAATGCCTTTCTACTAAATTATTTATCCTCTGATAGAAACCTTAAAGAAAAATAAGTAAACTATAACCAAGTGTGTCCAAATTTACTATAGCAAAACACCTGTTAAAAGAAAGGATAAAGAAGCATTCCAATAGACAATTTGACTGCTCTGTTATAAAGTACTTAATTATAAGAAACTATCATACCTTGAGCAGAATATTGTCATTTTGTGTGACCAGAAGATTATACAAACCAGTTAGATCATCCAGTCTAGTCCACACAACCAACATTTGAAAACTACACAGAGAACAGAAACCATGAAGAACTCTACCTTGGGAAAATTAATTGGGGTGTTGCTGATTTTCGCCACTCTAACTTACTGCATAGATGCAAGATTACAGGCTTGTCAGCCGAGTGGCAGTATCAGAGGCATAAAGCCACCACCAGGACAATGTAACCCTGAAAACGACTCAGATTGTTGCAAACAAGGCAAGATTTACACCACATACAAATGCTCACCTCCTGTGACCGGTAATACCAAGGCTGTTTTAACCTTAAATAGCTTCCAAAAGGGTGGAGATGGTGGTGGACCATCAGAATGTGATAACCAATACCATTCTGATGACACTCCAGTTGTTGCTCTTTCAACTGGATGGTACAGTGGAGGAGATAGGTGCCTTAACTATATCACCATAAGTGCAAATGGAAGAAGTGTGAAGGCTAAAGTTGTAGATGAGTGTGACTCTACCATGGGATGTGATGACGAACACGACTATCAGCCTCCATGTCCCAATAACATTGTTGATGCTTCTAAAGCAGTGTGGAAAGCCTTGGGTATACCAGATGGTGATTGGGGCGATTATGCCATTACATGGTCTGATGCTTAGCACATCATTATAATATTGATGTTATCATATCGAATTTATTGATGGTGTGATTATATGTAGTATGTGGGCATGTGATGGGCATAGATATATACTACTGGTAAATTTGCATGTATACTATTCTGAAATTACAGTTAATGAAATTCTGTTCATAATAGACAGTAGATTAAATTTCATGCCTATCTTTCAGAATTAATAAAATCTGAAACTGGTTAATCTAGACGTTCAACATTTAACCAAGATCAATCAGTCAACTAGACCCCAACCTCAATTTAGTAAAGACTGCATCAACTAGACTACTTTTACACCGACTCCTTGTTTATCCGAGCTAGGAACTAGCTATACTTTTAACATATTCAGAGTTGAGAATTGGCCTCAAATAGAAGAGGAAGCCAAACCAGTTGATCTCTTGGTTTTCAAGTTCAATAACAGGAAACCGCAATGTCCCTGGCTGCCCTACATGCCTATTTGTTAACTACAGCATCTCAATAGGACAGTTTTGCAAAAAAAAATAAAAATCGTGTGAGTTATTTTAAGTCCACATCCCTGTGAAGTCACTGTATATAGTGTTGTCCAGTGTCAATCGATCAACTGACCTTATGTGTTCTAGATTAAATTGTGTTGTGAAATAGGTACTGTAAGTTCCAATAATCTTCATTGTCTGACATACATTATCAGGAACTAAGTTAATTCAGCATGTAAATAACTTTTCGCGAATATCTGAATTATTGAAGTTATGTACTTTTCATTCAAGATGAGATAGCAAACTTATATCTATTTGCATAGTTTGTTGTTTTTTTCAATGGAATGGTTTAAAAAACACATCCAAGAAACTCCAAGCATAGAATAATTACAGAGGATCATGTTACAAAATCAGGCAGAGATATTAGTCCAATGACCTCAAGAAATTATAAAAATATGTCATCCACAAAAAGATGAAGAAAAAATTAGCTACATTGATGGAACAGTCGGCAACTGGAAGACAAAACCACAATATGTTACACGCACAGACTAAAGCCTACAGCATAAATTGAACTACTACTGAGTGGAAAAGCAGATTCATGTTAAAGTTAAACTGCAAGAGAACTCCTATATCACTACAATCTAAGATGATTGCTGATGATTGTGAGAACGTGGTTTATGTCAAGATGGTAGGACTGGAGATATCAGAACACAATATATACAGTGCTCACTTGTCAACCTACATTTGACATAGTCATCCTCGCATTAAATCAATGTCAATATGGCCAGTTTGTAGATCTATCTGCCTAGAACTAGGCCATACTCCCATTGAAGAGGATGGTGCAAGATTCTGGTTCGAAAGAGCATCAGCTGGATTAACGGAATTGTCAGTGGTCTGAAGATCTGAAGTTCCTGCACTCTGTACACTTTCTGCTGCTCTTTTCTTTGCCTTTGAACTTGAGCATAAGAAGCTTCCCACTATTACCTAAAATTATTTCACTTTCAGTTAAAGGCTTTGAACAGGTAAGTGAAAAGTCAAGGTTCTGAATGTGCCACAAGGTAAGAAGGCCTGGCCTCCATGTCATCAAGTGAGCAAGCAGTTTTTTAAGAAGGCCAATTTTGTCATGATTTAACAATGACCACACAACTATATAAATCTAAAACCAGCCTAAGTTTTTTGAGATTCAAAGGTGCATGAAGATTAAAATGAAAACAACCTTACAAAAAATTTCATACTAATTTGCAAATGAGTTCATGATAGTATCATATGATGAAGACAGCCCAATACCGAATGGTTTCCATTCGAAGACATAAATGGAGATTTCAATAAGATGGAAGGATTAAAAACGATACCTGAATTGGACTTGCAGCAACTAGAACACCTCCAACACCACCACCTATCACGCGACCATCTGGACTAGCAAGAGAAACACTTAGACTACCAATCCTACCTCGAGATCCACCACTTTCATTGACCAAGAATGAGCCCGATAGACATAATATCTCAAACCGTCCCTGTATGGAATAAGAACATATGCTTCGAAGTTCATTTTTGCAGAAGAGGCATGGAAAATGAGGGGGTAAATTAGGTTAAATGCAATAACATACTTAAATCAGTACCTAACTAGATTACAAGCTCCTAACATAGAGAAAACTTTATCCACTTCAATAAGTGGTTCCCCCTCCCCTAGCCATCTAGATCCCCAGAAACTATACCAAGAACTGATTCATCATATGGTATACAACAGTGTAGAAGAAAACTGAGAAAAGATTAGTCAACAAATTTGTAAGAATTACAGGCACAATCCCAGAATTTGTAATTATATATAGGGATAAGAAATGTCTAGTTTCCTCACTTTTGCAATTTGAATGTCAAACCAACGAAAAATGACTAGTGAATTATAACATTTATACATGAGAATCAAGAAAACAACCTTAAAAGTCTAGGCCTCAAAACAATTAACCTATATGTTAAAATATTTTCCAATTAAGTATTAAGGACATCAGAAACTAAGTCGCAAAGTTATTTCAGGGTTACTAACAGATCCATCATCCATGTAAAGTTACTAGACCAAACAATATTGAAAACACTAATAATTTTATTTTCCTAACCATTCTGAAACAGCTCAATTTCACCATTGTGCCTCAAGAAAAGATAACAACTTCCTGCAGATCAGTCTAAGCTGTAGACATTTATGCTCTCCATTTAGGAGGAAGCAACTTACTGTTATCAGCCTGAAAAATTATATTTTTTGAAATTTAATGTTAGTCTTCAGACCTCATATGTAACAGTGCCACCAGAAGTTGATGGCTGACGAAGAGTTACAGTGGAGATGACACCAGTTGCCGATAAAATACATATTGATCTAGGTCCCTGTTGCGAAAACGACATTATTTTTGTAGTAATGTCCTGCAGAAAATGCAAACAAACCCTCTATTAATATTGTTAGTGGCACAATTAAAACTAAAATAGAGAAGTAATTGAATGGCTGAAAGAGTACTAATTAAAGGTAAGGCAGATGCATTTTTTCCAAATTAAAGTTGTAACAATGTTCTGTTGCGCTCAAAGGCCTTCTGTTTTATACAAATAATTTGAGAGCACCTAGCTGCCTGTAAGGAAATGGTGATAAGAGAATTTAAAAGGTCAAAACTGCTTCTAGATCAAGAATGGAATCACCTTTTATTTGTCAATCCCAAACATAATATGACTTTTCACATTCGAATTTCATCTATTAAGAGGAACCTCCTAAGCTTAACTGACTGCACATTCTCCACATATACTCAATTCATTAAGCCAACTCTAGCTAAGAAGGCACACATATACTTATCAATATATTAAAATTGCAACCCTATAAAGAAGGATCTTGAGTTGTTTTAGTTTTTTTTGATAACCAAAAGCAAGTTTAAATTTAATTGGTTCTAGTTAATGATAAGTAAGTTCCTGTGCAATAATTAAGCATACAAGACGTGTCAACAGTTTTCTCTCTTGTCTTCCCCTTCCACAAGCAAACTCACTCCACTCCTATCACAACCCAGAAAGGATCCATCTGATTGCATATACTCACAGGTAATAATCAGTCTAAGGTCCCTAAGATTTCTTGGACCAAAACTAAATGATTATTTTCCATAGAGTACATTATGTTACTTCTTGCTCAAGTTTCTTGAAAGCCTAACTTGGAAAATAAACAGGGTGGGGGTTGGGGGAGAGAGAGAGTTCATTCCCATGCTCTAACAAATTTAATGTGTATAAGTGACCAATAAAGCTGTAATTTGCTAGCATGATAGAAGTGAGGAAAATAGATGCAATAGCAGTTTCAGTCATGCTATCTAGGAGATGCTATACAATTTAACACACTCTAAAACATGTGAATCCCATACTTCTCCTACAGCAATCATGATGACATGCGGGGTAAAACCAATTCCAGCTGTATTGGACAACCATCCACCTAGCAAAAGAATCAACCAATTACATGAAATCATATATAAGTCACAATCACAGCAAGTCAGCCACCAAAAAGCATGGCAAAGAAACATCATGGTGCAGGAAATTCGCAGAATGCTCAATGGATGAAAAGGATACTCACATTAATGATAACAATGACACTTAATAAAGGAATGGTAGAATTATCTGAAATTTCAACCTTGACTACCACATGAAGAAAGCAAGTACAGATGCTAAAAATATCACAACTTCTGAAGTACTTGTTTTTGGTAAATCCTGGAGAAAATTTTTATGTACTTATGGTTAAAATATTACAGTAACTAATTTGACCCAAAACTTGTACCCTTGAGGAAGGAAGTCCCAAATATTTCTCAAACCAGAGAGGAGGTCCACTAAGTTTTGTTAAACTAGAGAGAAGAAGAAACTGATCCAAAAAATAAAACAAGATGGTTCGTCCTTTTTCATTTTAAGTGTTGGTTGTCACTTAAGATGAGCACGAAGGATGCAATATTGAAAAAGTTTTGTTACAACTCCAATATTGCCTTAGCATCATTTGACCAAATTTGATATGTGAGGTCATCCTAATCCCCACATAAAACAGTGGTGGCCTAAATTGCAGCACTATGAAACCAAAATATATAGTTCTGAGGTTTTATAAACCATTTAACATGTCGTATACATTATTAAAATGCTTGAAATCTTCTTTGTATTACATGAAATAGTAGCATATTTTACTTCCTATGTGACTTTAATATGCTTTAGTGTATTTGTCAGAACAATATCTATATATCTATATGATGTATCTTTCTTGCAAGAAAAATTCATTCACCATTGAGGACGATACACAATGATAAACAACATCATCATGATGGAGATAGCCAGGTGCAAGAAAGGAACATGCTGTGGCTTAAGAGGACTGCACCGAAGTAAGTTGGTAAAACTTCGTCCATCAGATTAAGTTCTTTATAAAACAAAGAACTTAACAAACAACAACTAAGAGTAAAAGGAAACACATTAGGTCACCAACATCAAACCACTCCAATTGTCCAGGATATATACAAATGCAAATTGAAGGGAAAAATTACCAAAGGAAGTGAGTTGCTGCTTTCGTCCAGACCCTGGTGGCCTTCCTCTACCTCTCTTCTGAGTTGGGTTTAATGACAATGCCTGAGTAGATGGAGGTGGAGTCAGAGCCAACGACATCGCCCCTTGAGCTCCATACTTCCGTGGCCTACCCCTCTTTCTGCGCACAGGTTCACCTTGAGGCATTGCTGATGATGCACCAATACTACCTCTAGGTGATAAAGTTGATGAAGGATCCATTACTAGTGTTTGTGGAATCGAAGCGCCACTGCCACTAGATTGAAAGGCAATATTATTAGGAGTTAATGAAGGATTAATGCTTGGTGATCCCTGTAAACCAGGGGCATTCCCACTCCCACTCCCACTCATCCCTCTCTGCATATAGTAAGGAGAGGATCCAGGTAACATCATAGCTTCCCTTCGATCCATACATTCATTTATTTTTACAGAACTCCGCAAACAATATATCCCCTTCGAACAATGATTTAAATCTCTAAGGAAGGGAATCAAAGTCACAACTCTTTATTCGTAAACATGGAAAGTGATCTTCACAACATCAAAACCAGTAAAAGTTGTAGCCTTTGATTAGAACATGGCACAAAAAGACTGAACTTCTTTAAATTCTCAAGGGAACTCTATTATGCACATTCAAAATCTCTTTAGAATCCAAGAATGTACTTAGCTGTGAATTTCACTTCCCAATTGGCACAAAGAATAATAACAGAAAGCTCCTTCAAGAACAAAGCCTCCCAATAAATGCAAAATCTGAAAGATTTTAAGAGTACTGTCAGTGAATGACACAAAAGTAAGTTAAGAAATAAAGTAACAAACTCAGCAAAATAGATGGGTAAAACACATTATAGTAGGAGGAGGAAAGGAAAAGAGCTCAGAGTTAAAAAGATCCACAGAAAAGCAAAACAGGAGCCTAAGATATGTTCATAGGAAGAGAAATGCAAGTTCAAAGCAAAAGGGCTAAGATTAAAGAACAAGCAAGAGTACCATAGCTTTTAACAGCTTGCTAAAACTATTTGAAAAGGAGAAGG